GCACGCTCTATGCACAGCTATCTTCGGATCACCCGCCGGCCAGCCATTGCCGCATTGCCGACGGGTACTTGCTCCTCCACTCGAGAGGCAAGGACTTACTATGTGTCCCATGCGACCGTCGTCTTCGGACTCGCTCCTCGGCGAGTACCATGATTCACGACTCGCCGGCCATTTCGGAGTCAACCGCACTATTGCACGGCTTCGACAGCGATTCCGATGGCCCGACCTCATTACCGATGTCACTCGGTATTGCGACTCTTGCGAAGTTTGCCGACGCAGCAAGCCCCGCAACCGCAATCCCTGCGGCGAGTTACACCCGATGCCTATCCCACGGGAACCCGGTCTCTCCATTGCCATGGACGTCACCGGTCCGTTTCCTCGCGACCGGCCTGGGTACGACGACATCCTCACGGTTGTGGACCGATTGAGTAAGTACGCGCGTTTTCTCCCTTGCAAGTACTACTCCACGGCTCCCGAGCTGGCACGCCTCCTGTGGCCACGGTGTACCAGAAGACATTGTCAGCGACCGCGACACTCGTTTCATGTCGGCATTTTGGACTGCTCTCATGCAGGAGTCCGGCACAACAATGAAACCAAGTTCGGCTCGACATCCGCAGACAGACGGGCAGACGGAGCGGGCACATCAAACCGCTCAAATGATGCTTCGTACGCTCATTTGTCCGGACCAGAAAGATTGGGTTGACCGCCTCCCCGACATCGAGTTCGCCTACAACACTTCGGTGCATCCGGCAATCGGCGCGACTCCATTCGAGTTGCACCACGGTAGACGGAAAGGCCGGATCTTCGCAGACCTTCTCCTCCCTTGACCAGCCGACATCGACGCTGCCTGCTCTCCCGCTTCCGCCTGGAAGTACAGGGAATTGCTGACTCAAGCCCGCGCAAATATGCAAAAGGCTCAAGTCCGCATGCAGCAGCAAGCCAACAGGCGTCGCTTACCATGTCCCATCCGYGMCGGTGATCTGGTTTGGGTCTCCGCGGAAGAGTTTGCACTGGAACAGGATGTTTCACGCAAACTGCTTCCCAAGTGGTTTGGACCTTGGTCTGTGACAGCAGCCGCGGGCGATGAGCCCGATGGCCCTTCATTTGTGATCAACATTCCAGAGCATCAGAGCATCTGACGGTCCATCCGGTCTTCCACGCCTCGAAGCTGGCAACATACACGCCAGCCAAGAGCGACGACTTTCCGAACCGACGATCGCAGGACCCTACTTCTATGGATGGCCATCAGGAAGTTGACCGCGTCATCTCCGATCGCAAGTACGGCAGCAAGCCGCGGCAGTACAAAGTCACATTCAAGCATGCGATCGCGACGACACTCGGTGGATTTCAGGCGCAGATTTGAAAGCATCCGCACCGCTGATCTACGCCCATTATGAAAAGCGCAGGTTAGCTCAGGAAGCTTCACGACCAGCCCCTCCCACCCGGACTGTGGTCCCTCCCTCAGACAGACAGCTTCGCCCTCGCAGGTAAGCTCGGTTCTTCAAGGAGGGGGGGGGGTGGCATACTGCTTAGCCACACGGGCCCTGCAGGGCCCGTCCCGGACATTCAGCCTAAAAGCCTAAAACTTAGGGCTTACAGGCCCCGTTCGTTTCAGCCTGGATGCTGAAAAACGAGGGCCTGCAGGCCCTACCCCGTTTCAGCCTATTTCTGGGTCTTTTCAGACCCAGAGTTTTCAGCCTGAAACGGAGGGCCATTTTCAGGCCCTTATTGTTTCGACCTGCCCCTAAGACTCAGGCACGTAAACAGGGATGCGGAACAGGCAAGAAATAGCCTGTTCCTCACGAGTTGAGCAGGAGCTGCAGCTGCAGCCCCTGCCTCCCTTCGGCAGGCTCAGGAGGCACACCCGTAGTACATAGGAAGTTCCCATGCACTTCACGGGGAGGTAGTTCAGTAGGCACGAGGTAGTCTTCAGGAGATCGGCCGCAGCACTCAGGAGGAGCGCTGCAGTAGTCTTTAGTGCTAGGCAGTAGTGGTAGCGCTAGCTGTAGTCTTCGGCGCTGGGCGCCATAGCTGTAGCTGTAGTCTTCAGCGCTGGGCGCTGGTAGGTGGTGGATCGCAGAGTGGGAGAGAGACTAGCGGAGGCCAGTGTTACTTACCTGTGGTGCCATCGCCCCAGCTCCATCTTCATGGTACCTGCATCAAGGCGCCAACTTCACAGGTTAGTACTGGACACACAGAGAGAGAGAGTTCTTCTTCTTCCTCTTCTAAGTCCACCTTCTCTTCTCACCCTCTCGCCACCTGACTTCTCAGACTACGACAGAGACAGACAGAGTTGTGACTTGAGACTTGACGGCATTGGATCCAGACTTGACATTTGGGATTCCGACATTCCGACGAGGGACTATTTGGGCTTGTGTCGAAGACTTGGTGTTGACGACATTCCCATCTTCCCCCTCCTCTTCGTCTATCCCCTTCCTCTTCATCTGTGTATGGTATGGGCTGGCGCTGTCTTCCTGTGTGAAGCGCCAGACCCATTCACACCTTGTAACGATGATGATGATGTATGTTCAGGGCTGCATTACAACATTGATTGTTCGGATCACTGGTATCTAAGTCTTCCGCTGTGTTATCTTGTACTTTGTATTGAAAGGTCGTTTCTTGTTCTGGTCTGCACGTTACAGTATGCAACATCTTCCCTCTCCTCCTCCCTTCGTCTCTCTCCTCCCTCCATTCGTCCGTGGATGGTCTCAGACCCTGGCCTTTCGTCTGTGTCCAAGGCCAGGGCTTTCACACCCCTGATGAATGATTGAGAGTGTTCGATTGCAGTCTGAGTCAGGTCAGAGTCAGTCCATGTATCTCAAGTCTTCCGCTGTATTTGTATTTACTCTGTATTATCTGGTCGGTTCTGGGAATCTTTGCCATACTTATGACTGTGTTTCACGAGTATGCAACAAAGACTCTGGGGTGTAGGAGGAGGAGGAGGAGGATTAAGGTGAGCAAGGAGGAGAGTGACAGGGGTGCTTACCCAGCTATGGTGGATGGCATCTTCATCTTCTTCGTTGGCGCTGCACCTAGAAGGCCCCATAGGGGATAGGCTTCATCTAGGAAGACTTCAGTGCAGAGATAGGCATGGCGGCCATAGTAGCCTTTGAACATCAGAGCAAGGCTTCGCTAATCTGGCATAGCAGTGGAAGACGGTGTAGGGCATGACTATGTTGGACCTCATGAGTTGCTGGCTGTAAGGAGGAGATTCGGACATTGGTTCTGGTTCATTCTGTAACTGTTATTATTGTTATTTATTGAACAGGAGTTGGGAGAGATAAGGAGGTTGAAGGTGATGGCGAGATGGAGGAGGATTTGACATTGGTCTTTGCTGGTGTACATCTTCTTCTTCTTCTTCCACTCTTAATTCTTCGTCTCCCTTTGTCTATTTCTCTTTCTGAGTTATTTCATTTCAATTGCAATTGAGCGACATTGTCTTTCTTTGTGTTATTGCACTTCTAGATGCCCAGTATCATAACATATTTCATAAACCTCAGGTATCTGCCCGAGGTTAGCAGTGGGTACATTGTCTGCATCACACTACATATGGTAAGCTGGTTAATTTTGAAGGGGGAGGTGGGTTTGAACTGGGATGATAAACTAAATTTCTGCACATAATACCTCCATCAGCCTCAACTGCGAGGCTTCAGGCCTCGGCATGCCCAAAGTGGCTGCCCGTGAAAAGAAAAGCCCAGGCCACCCCAAGTGAAAGCAGGCCTGAGAAAAAGGAAGCTCGCCCTAAGGGAAGACCAAGCAGGGGTACTACCGGACCTGCGACAGGCGCCAGCCAGTAGGCCTAACCTCCAGTTAGTTACACAAGATGGGACCCGGTAGTGGGCATCAGGCACAGCCCATTGGGACGCAGACCGCAGCCTCCAGAAGTGACAAAAGGAGGGAGGCTGCTGGGCCGAGCACATAAAAAGTGTTATGTGCCTGATTGAAAACGAATCCCAACATGGCATTCACATGTTCCCGTACATGTGCACAATGACAAGTAGACTTGGAGAGAGAAATCCACACCAAACCGGATGATGAGAATACACAGTGGAAGCTCACAAAACCAAAATTAGAATTGATTTCAATGGATTCTGATTGATACGGTCTCTCCTCAACTCAATCAGCAACACGAATTTCCCAGGATCTCAACTATGTTAAAACACCCACGAACCAATTACAGACCGAGTTTCATCAAGTATAGGAGACTTCTTCTTCCTCCTTCAACGTCGAGCTCTAGCTATGGTGCCTCTTCCACTTCCAGCGCCCAACCTATCAAGCCCACCACTTGCCACACACACCCTGAACCCAACACGCCACTCTGCACCAACCTCGAAGCCCACTGCAGATGGAGTGTCCACTCAGTAGGGGAGCACATCTCCCAGGATGAAGAAGAAGCGGACCAACTTGATGAAGGTGAAGATGGCTGCCACTTCGAAGAACACTTCAAAGAAGAGCTTTGACGGCAGCTCTGTTGACCCCAACAGGCACAGAAAGGGAGACAACTTGTAGCGCTCAGGGCCTGATGCCCTGCGCTGGCTGACAGCAAGCAAAACGGCCCAGCTATGGCCGTCAACTCTCCACCAAGGATGAAGACGAAGCCCTGCCTTGGCGCTGAATTAGCGCAGCAGCCAATCTGGACTGCATTCAGGCAAAGGGTTTCAGCCAAAACAGCGGGGGGGGGTATGGGCACCTAACAGACCATGCCTGATTACGGAGAAGTCCCTATGAGGGACAAGGCCTGTTGCACTACCATTAGGACCCTAGACACCCTAGACCTAGGAAAAATTACAAATCAGTCCTACTTTAGTGCACAGCCCGCTGTGAAAGGCCTTCCACGATTCAGACCCCAAATTCGGATCTCAGGGTCAGAGGCCTGGTTAAGAGAGACCGAGCTCGTCAAATTCAGAAAAGTCACAATCGGGCACCTCAGGAGTCCAGTCCAACAGGAACCCAGTGAACAGTCACATCTTAGGGGCAAGAGTCGCACCTCAGAATGAAAAGTCATATTGAAGAGTCACATCTCACGAGTAAGAGGGCAGTTCCACAGGTAAGGGTGGTGTCCCAGGGGCAGGAGTCACAGTCCACAGTCAAAAGTCATGATCACAAATGAAAAGTCATGACCCAAAGGCCCAAGCAGCAGCAGACCCATGGAAATTCGGGAAGGTTCCAGGCCTTGACATTCAGAAGCAGACAGGCCGTGAGGATGTGGTACCGGAACCAGTCAGGCCACCAGAAGCAGAGGCTGGCACGAGTTGAAGTGCATTTCAAGACTACAAAAGGACTGGCCAGCCTACCACTCGGGCAGATGCTCATTCGCACGAGAGTGTGGAAGTGCTTGTGCACTTGTGCGCTAGTGTGGGAGCTGCGCTATGCCAGAGAGCAGCGCCGAGTAGAGCTGAGGGAGAGGAAGTAGACGCTGGCAGAGTAGAAGGCAGCCACAGCTGCGCCAGCACTAGAAGGCAATATAGTGGTGGTTAGTAGTAGTAGAGCAGTGAGTGGTATTCAGAGCTGATCCTCATGTGTGTGTTAGTAGTAGGGAGTGCACAAGTGAGAGAAGAGGAAGACTGTAAAGAGAGAAAACTGGATCCATCAAGTAAGAAAGAGGAAAGAGGGGGAGAGAGTAAGCTATGGTGGATACTTACCTGAAGAGTGTTGAACTTGGTGTTGGAGACAAGCGCTGATGAGCGCAGATGCTGAGACTCTTGATGATCGAAGCAGGCTTGTAATCCTGTGAAGCACTGGACAGTTGAACTCTTGATTCTCTCTCTATAATCTGGTTGTGATAATTCTGGTTGAGATAATTGAGCTGCGTTTTTCTGTTCTACTACTCATCTTCTCTTTGTGCAAATGAGTGACAAGACAATCTGTGTGGCATGTATGCTGGTGTGAGTACTCCATCGTGTGATGAGCTTCGAGGCTCATTGCAGCTGAGAACTGCAATTCATTGCATTAGGGCATCGGCAGCATGCAGCAGCTCTAGAGCAATGCATTGTGGCCAGATGACGCTCGGGCGAGACGAGGCAACTGGTGGCTGCTTCACTAGCAACTCCCATTGGTAGCAGGATGTAGTAGCGGATTTCAGAGTAGGTGAGGAAGACAGTAGGAACTGGTTGTGCTGACGTGCTGTCAATGACGTGTACCTGTGTGAGCAGACTCCTCAGCACCATCTGGCATGTGAAATGTGGATAGAGAGAGTGCTGAGAGTAGTAGGCTAGTGTGTGTGGTAGGAATGGAGAGAAGTCCAAGGCAGCGACATCTCAGCACGGCTACTACATTATTGTTGTATTGCTTATTGGAGTTCTTTGTCATGTGACTTCAGTGTCCAGCTTGTTCCTGATTGGAGTGATGTCCGCCTCGGTAACTCTGCTTTCAACTCAGCTCAGTCAGGCTTGGTGTTCTATGAGCTTTTGCATTTCGGAACTTGGTGTTCTCATTTGATGGCTTCCCCTGCACAACCTCCAGAAGTTAATATTGCGCACAGTGTCTCCTTTACACTAGACATAGCAGCTGGTTGATTCTGAAGGGGGATGTGGGACTGGACTTCGAGGATAGCTATTCAGGATGCTGTCTCTACCTTGATTTGGTTTACTGTAAAGTACGATCTCCGGGGTGCTGTCATCACCTCCTGGGCAATCGTGTTTCGGATGCCAGCGAAGGACTGGGCAATCATGTTTCTTTCTAAGGAAAAACAAGAAAAAAAAGATCTCAGCTGAGTTCAGCTAATCTACAAATGCTCTGAAACATATGAACTTTATAAGTCCCTGGCACCTTGAGCTGGTACAGGTGCCAGCAGCTCATTAAGTTCTTTTTTTGACTCATGTTTAGCTTTTGCAAAGGCAGGGCAAAGAGAACTGTCACCTATCGTCAAAGGAATGCCTGTCTTGTACTTCATAGAAAGGAAAACGAGCAGTTCTGCCACTTCGGTTGCCAACTGAAGCCTGAATTGGCCTGCAGCTGGTAATTCAGGCAGCTGTGGTAAAGCCAATCCACCATTCCCAAGGGGATTCCCCCATCACCTCTAGGGGCGCAGGATGGACACACCCAAGGGGAAAGGACCCTGTTATGATGCCAATCCATACTTGTCAGGTAACCAATGTTCTCTCATCCTGTTTCTTTATGTGAATGTTATGTAAGTAGTAACATCGTATGTTCCTTATGTCCATGAATCATAGGAGAGTGGTTGCCTCAGCAGAGCACCGTCGGCAAGAGTAGAGGTGTTGGTAGTCTGCAATCTGGTAAGAACTGGAGGCTTGTAGCCAACATTTGTTTGCCCATCCAGGTACCTGAAGACATAGCTGGTGGTGATTACTCGCAGACCTGAGAAGTCAACTGACACTGCCAAAGACCAACATTTGTGCTATGCAGGTTCAGTTTTGAGAACAATACATGGACGGACTTAAGTCCTCTGTCTGAACTCAAGAGTGCTCCTGCTGCACGGAAGGAGCACACATTGGCTGGGGTGCAAGGGGATCTGATATTGTTCGGGGGGAGGAACAAGAACGGTTATCCTCTTGAAGACATCTGGGAATACAATTATGGTACGCATTGGTGCGATACCACGGTCCCTACCTTCACCCAATGCATAAACATAATGAGAGTATCTCTATCTACATACCTTTCACATAAGGAGTTTTATAACTACAAGTTCACTGCCTGCCTGCCGCGGTACTCTTTTCCCTGGCCTAAAGCCGGGCTATTCTGGCTATGTGCCTGCGAAGGACTTGGAATTCTGTCATTTGGTCATTCTGGATTCCACATTGCGGGTCTTGGAGTATCTCATGTACAGTGTGTGTGAGGTGTGTGTTATGTCCTGCCTCCATGCTTGACAGCACTCCTTCTTCACCACCATCTCCACGTTCACCCTCCTCTTCTTCACGACTGACAAAATCTCCCAGCCAAGGCAGATCCCATCACGCTGGCATCGGAATGGGATCGAGATCCTCCTGCTCCCTCCATGGGAAGCAAGCACGATGTAGACGCAGATGAGGACAACGATGGTGGAGTGCAAGATGACAACACAGAACAACGCCATCGCACCCTGCCACTGCCAGCACCCCGTGATCCCCAAGTGATCAGGGGCGCGAGCAACCCAACAGCACTGGGTAGAATCAATCCAGCACCCTTGCCATCACGCCCTGCCACTGCCAGCACCCCGCCTGCACCATTTTCCCCGCCGCCCACCATCCACTGCCATGTGGTGTATTTCCACATTTATTGCTGCTGCTTCCCAGTGGCACTCCCACCCGCCCGCCGTCCATTGCCACACAGTGCAAAGCTCCACTGCTTCCCTGGCGGCATCCCGCAGCGGCGCAGCAGATCCCCACCGCCGCTGTTCAGATCCCACCACGCTGCTTTGTGGTGTGCGGAGCCAGTGCCGTTCCCCCAGCCTGTCGCTGGGGAGAGTGCAACGTGCACTGCTCAGAGACCGGTGCGCGCATCAGCGGCCAAGGCCAACTGCATCCGGATCTTTGATTTTTTAAAGATCTTGGAATATCTACAGCTGCCAGGTTTTGAACCTGGGAAGGAGCCCCACGCACACATGTGGCTAGTGCACTAACACACTGGCCACAAAGCATTTGTGAGCTGTCTGTGAAGGAAACAGCAGTTGAGTGCTATTTGCTCCCACTCTCCACAGCGCGCAGTAGTAGGCAGCACAGCAGCAGCAGCAGTAGCACAGCTATTTGCCTCCCACCCCCTCCCGGCACAGCTGCTGCCAGCCAACGTGGCCCTCAGGAAGAGCTGCTGGCCGCCAACGTGGTTATCAGGAAGTGGCACATGGCAGAGCTTGGAGCACTTTTTGAAGACCCCCCTAGTAGGGGGCTGTGCTGCCATCTAAAAATGGGTGGCTGGTATGGAGCTCAGCCATACCTTCGGAACTTTCTCACAGGTCTGATGCTTTTTATCAGATCTTACCACCCTTATGGCAGTTTTGCCGCATCAGGAACTGCTTTCTCAAGACTCCCTTCTCCCCAAAGGGCTCCCCTACCATCAGATGATCTGCCGGTCAAAATCCGAGATTAGTATCACTTGCCCCCCCACTATTCATCTCTCTCCCTCCCTCATTCTTCCATCCTCCCCCTTTTTCTCCATCATTTCTCGTTCTATCACTAATCTATCATCTTTCCCCCCCTTTTTCTCATCTTGATTTAATTATCTCACCTCTTTCCCCCTACGCTCATGCCCCCTCTCATCCCACCTGCTTTCCCCTCAACTTTGTAACCTCTCTCTCCACCTTCCCCAGTCAAACTCGAACCCCGATCAACCCCCCTTATCCCTGTTCTTCTCTAACCCTCATACATTCTCCACCTCCTTTCTGCTGTTCCCCCCGCTTATCTGAAACATTTCCCACCCTCTTCTTCACCGTGTTGCACCCTATGGCGTGGATGCCGCCCCTTCTGTTGTAATCTAGCATCACTTTCTCACCTCACCTTCTCCAAATCATCTCTTCTCCCTTACTTCTTATCTTGTTTACCTCCCACCTTGACCTTTCTTCTTTCGCCTTTTTATGTTTTTCTCGTTTTCCTTCCTGAAATTTGAAATATATATATGTATATATATATTATGCATATGAATTGATATAATATATATATGTACAGGGTTGCCGGCGTTCGGGACGGGCCAAGCAAACCGAACCCGAACACCCGAACGTTCGGCACCCCCTCTCGACGCGTTCAGCCGTTTGGCCGAACACGGACCCAAAAAAAAAACAAAAAAACAAAAACAAAAACAGAATTCCAAAAAATCTGAAAAATATATATGTTATGCAGAAGAATAAACTAAACAACATTTGCCTCAACGTTACATCCAAATTCTTTACCAAATTTCAAATAAAAATCAAGTACTAAAACTAAATAATAATAATGAAAATTAGAAAAAGTTCAAAAAGCAAGTGGACCCGCTGCGGCTTCGCCCGCGGCGAGAAGAGTATAAAATGTGAGACACGAGGAGAAGGGAGAAAACAAAAGACGCAGAGACGTGGATGAGGCCAACCACAATTGGAAAAAGTCATGGAAGATATGTAACATTTCATGAAGATGTGAAAAAACAAAGAGCAGTCTCCTGTCCCTTCCCATTGTCCGGCACGTGGACTCTTCCGCCTCCCCTTCGTTGTTCTTTCCTCATCTTCACCTCTCCCATTTCTCCTTCCTGGCAATGTCCTCCGGGAAAAAAACAGCAACAACAACACTCAAAAAAAAAAAAAAAAAAAAAAAAAAAGCACATCCGCTCTCATCGTTGCACAACCATCTTGCTAAGAAAAAAAATAGAATGCTCTCTCTCTCTCTCTCTCTCTCTCTCTCTCTCTC